CTGTCCAAAGAAATTTGCCAAGACGCAAGTCAAGCTAACAAAACACAGAACTTGGCAGGAAATCGCAACTCTGCACAAAAAGCAGACAAAGGAAAGAAATTGTAAAATTGTATAAAGGGAAGCAAAAACTTCATAAATTAAATGTTAAACAAATGGAAGTATAGTAAACACTCTATATGACCAGAAGTTGCTTTACAAAACGATTTAATATATGTACATATCCTAAAATTGATATTTATTACATTGAAATAAATATATTGTAAACAAATTTAGTATTGAAATTTAAAATATTAGTACATTTTATTTATTTTTCTATAATAACAAAAATTTAAGCATTTAATTAATGTTGACTCATTATTAAGTTTGCACAATATTAAATACAAATTTGTACAATTTATTTCTGATCAATATCACTCCCAACTAAATTAAAATAAATGCCTGCACCATTCAAAATATACCCCATATTCATTCTGGCTAAATTTGCACAATGCTAATACACCATTTGTCAGGACATTTAATGGTCTCCGGGTTGGACAGGACACGACTGGCTTACTGGGGTCAGCCCCAATGTTGTTTCAAGCGTTTTTATCTGCCCCCCTTATTTATGCACCCAGATGCAATTCAACCACTTCAACCCCACGAGTTTTTACTTTTTTGTTTAACTTAATTAAATTAGCAGTCGAGAAAAACTGTTTGGAGGGTAGAATGCCGCATTAGAAAATTGGCTGGCATCATATAAGAGGCTAAACATTTATCAAATGTCTGTATCTTTTTCTTTAGTTTTTTCTTTTTTACTTATTTATGTGGCGCCTCATCTATCAAACTGCAATCAAGTCACCTTAAACCCCGAATGTTTAAATGAAAATTTGTCAGGAGCAGCTGCTTCTTTTGTGCCCCAAAGCAAACACTATTAATTTCGGAACAACAACGGATAAATGATGGATATATATCTACGTCATATTCTTCAAAACCTATCATTCTCGTTTTATCGACTAAGCCTCACATGTGTGGCGTTTTCATCGAAAACTTGGCCGAGAACGTTAAATTTAAGCCAGCTTCACAGTTTTACCAAAGCTTTAATTTGTGAAAAAAAGTAATTCCAAAACCGATTTAGACAATCTGATTTCTCAACTAATTTTTTGCTTTTTTTACCACTCTGTCCAATCTTAATAAATCGATATGTTTTCTTAAGATAGAGAGTGATTTAACTGTTTGTTAAAACTATTTTTTCTTCAATATAACTTTTAAATATAAATATATAGATATATTTAAATGGTGCCTGTATGCATAAAAAACATTTTTTTTTTTTTTAAACATTGTTTCAAGTGAACATGGGTAGCGAACAACATTAGCATCCCAAGAAGGCGGCACTGCAACGACGTCAGTAGCTATATCCATCTCTATGTCCCTGTCTATATGTATTCTGGTGTGCACTTTGTGTGCATTGTCGTGTCGTGGCCATGAATATTTAATGAAATTAGCTTAGGAATCTTACTACATTTTGCCGCGTTTCCTCTGCCACACGGCGACCCACGTGTTTGCACTGAAATTCCGAATGGTGGAAAAAACTGGGGGAAATGGAGGAATAAACCACGGTACATGTGACGCTCACAAATATGCAAGGATAATGACGCTGGAGAGCTTCCGGGCGAAGGATAAGACACATTTTAGTGCAGTTAATTTACTCGTTTTCTATGCAGAATTTATTACATGCCATAATGCAGGGAAAGGAAGTTAATTAAACTGTTGGTTAGAGAGTTTTCTATCATAAGCTAACGTTTCCCCGTTAGCATTAAGAACAGTGCCAGTATCATTAATAATTTAAGCTATTAACTAATTTTGTCTTACATATGTCAAAAATCAACGTATATTTATGATCAATATCACTCACATTTCTTTCCTTTTAAGTTATAAAATAAAATAATTAATTTCTTCAGTTTAACAAACCATTAAAAATATGAAAAAAAGTACACCGGAAGACATTCTCATATGAAACTCGTCTAGAAAAGTCCTCCCGGCAAGTGTATCATTTATGGCGATTGTAATTTGTATTTTATTTTGATACGATATGTTTAAACAAGTTGGTTTAATATTGTTAATTAAAACATTAAGTAATTATATTTTCCGTCGAAAAATAATTACAGAATTTTGCAGCAATTAAACCATCTATTCGCGGTTAGCACTCCCCGGATTGCATACTTTATTAATTAATAATTTGCAAATCATCCTGCACAACAAACAAAACCGAAACACATGATGCTGCGAATTAGCATAGATTATATAGACCTGGGGCTTTACTGTTTGTTTAATACTCATAAATAGCAAAGCAAATTCACGCAGATGCATTTCAATATGTGCCCGGAAAGGAGAAGCGTAATCAATAAATTTCCATGCACCAAAAGCAGTCAGATAAATACATGAATATTGTGAAACGAAATGGAGGCTGGTGGAGCCCAAAGCATTTCTCGTTAAGTCAATACAGGAATACCACCGCCAGCATAAATCAAAAATGGCAAACGTATAGTGGATCAGCTAGTGTGGAATATTGGGGTCTATGAAAATGTAGAAGGGTGGATATGTTGTCCATATATAAACAGATGCTACAAACTGAATGTGTTCAATGGGCAATAGTTGACTCCCATACTAAAAGCCTTTTCACACGGATAAAGTTATTGCAGATTAAATTACAATATGTAGAAAATTTACATTTATAGCGCATTTATTTCAAATCCCAAAGCAAAGATTAAATTACTTTCTTATTAGAAAATAACTTATATAACAAAATTAGAAGATCTAATGTACAAGTACACTTTGTGCTGCTCTCAAAATAATCACGCTTAAATTCTTTAACCTCCCATAAACGAATTTTCATGCTGTTTTTCTAGATCTTTTCCGCATAAGTGGGGGTACTACAAGTATACATGAAAATGGCTTCAACTTATTGTTAGTTTCGCCCTGTTATCCTTGCACTTGCAGGCAGCTCCTGCGGTTGCGCCTGCTGCTGTTGACACAAAAAAAATGTATATAAGGGGCCGCCCCCTGTCGACAATTGTATGAAAGGAATATAATAATACTACAGGCTGCACATAATGATATAGGGGCCATGGCAAGACGACGAAATGGATGAAAAGTGGGCGGGAGAAACTCTGATGATTATGAGCATGTCGCGAAAAAGGCGAAAACAACAAAAAAACGTCTTAGTCATTGAAAAATATACTACATATATATTTTCCGTACCCTGTAGACATTTGAGTAGGGTTTTGTCGTTAAAATGAAAGTAAAATTGGTTTTTAAATTTAAAATGGGAGAACATTTTAATAAATTTACTAAGGCTCTTAAACTCGATTTACATAACATAAGAAAAATTAGAATTGCATCAGTTTTTACCATTTCCTACATTTTTGTGATCAAAATATTTTACAATAATTTTTTTCTAAGGCATATTTGTGTCCCATATTACGATAATAGATAGTTACATCACCAGATTAAGTTTTGCGTTCCGAGAAACCTATTTAGTGATTTGAAAAGGGCAAGCAAGAATAAAAGACAAAATACACAAGGCTAGGGAGTCCTTTCTCATCCCTAAGCAAATAAGAATAGTTGTATCTCTAGGACAACCAGCGCCCCAACAATCTCGGTTGTAAGGACTGAACTTGACTTCAGGACATTTGGCCGCATTTGGTGTGCGAATCAAAATTTCATAGGCAGCCAACGAAGGGAGGAAAATGGATGAAAGGGTGGGAAAAAGTGGAAAACTTTAAGATAGAGGAAAGTAATTTCATGTTGAGCGACAAGTGGCAAGGTAATTTATCAAGAGCAAAACAAACCTGTCACGAGCGAAAGTTCTTCAGACCGTCACGCGACAGCGGTTGGGTATTTCCAACCACCCACTCCCCCACCCACTCCCTCACCGACTCCCATCCGAAGAACCCACTGTCGAATGCCACACGTGGTGGGTCATAAAAAATGTATTACCAAATTTGCTCGAGCTGCACATATCGACGAAGCGCCGCGAGCCAAAAACCTCAAGAAAAATGTGGCTCATTTCTGCCACGGACTTCTACGGACTTTTTTCCTGGCCACTGAAAAATGGCTTCACTTCTTCGTCGCCTTCCGGAGCTTTAATCCCTTGATTGGAATTGAGGGCTCCTTGGCTTTTTACGACCCTACATCGTAATAGCGTGCAGATTGGCCAATAAGCGGAATCTCTCTGTTTTGAAGGGAAGGCGGGCGAAAAGTACTCGAGAAATTCACTCATTAGCCTGATGGACAGGATTCAAAAGCGTTCAAGGAGAAAAAACTGGAAAACGTGAAGGGCTCTATTATATAAAGTGGCCAAAAAACAGCTTGTCTACATTTTTCCGAATCAATTTGTTTTGACAAAGCTCGCGAATATATTTTTAATGTAAATTCCAACTGTAACTAATATATACAAGAAGGTTAATTATAGAAGGAAACTTGTTAAGTATCAACCAAAATAAAGACACAGATCCAAAGAAAGAAGGAAAAAGCTAATCCTCCCCAGCTGCTGTCTTTCTAAAATGTGTACATCTTACCTTTTCTCAGTTATTCCAGCTTTAACGATTTTGAGCTCCCTTTACGACAGGCCCCCGAATCTCTTTCATTTCCCACTTATTCTCTGTCTTGAGTGTACCTTTTTGCCATAACTGTTTTTATGGCTCTACAAAATTTCGTTTCGCTCCATACCAATCCAGTTCAATTTTACACATCATAAAATATCGTGGAGAATCGATTCCATTTGGAATCCAAAGAAATCAATGCGAATCCACAGAAAATGCATAATTTATACAAACGAGGGGAAATCAACCCACTGAATTCCTCCTAAGGATAAGCCCGAACCACCCACACACAAGCAATAAAATAAAAACCAAATTGACAAACATTGGTCGTGGGAAAATAGAAGCCCAAAAGGAGCAGTACCAAACATCTGTTCATAAATAAATAATTTCGTAATAAAATTAAGAGCTCAGCTTTCTTACCTTTGCCATAATCGTTGTTTGCTGATAAGAAAATTCCCAGGTGAAATAAGCCGACGGCTTTTGTATTTTTTCTGTTTCTTAACTTTTTTTTTTGGTCACCAAAAAAGCAAGGCGAATACACTTCGCTTGTAATTAATCAACAATAATTGGTTTTGCTATGTTTGCCTATTAATTTTGGCATTTATTTTCACTAATTTCACTTTGTTTCGGTTTTCGTAAGTTGTAACGGTAAAACGAAGACGAAGACACAAGCACACGAACCTAGCTTTTAACTAATTTTTGATTTACGAATATTGGGTTTATGTATTTTATGTTTCACTTCTGTGTTTTATATTTGTATTTTTTATAGATTCTTAGCGCGTTTTTTCAGCTTCCTGGCTGTTACTTTTTAGTGATAAATTATATGCGGATAAACTTTTAGGGCAGACACATCCTTCCAAAAGTCTAATCCGTTTTCCACCGCGACTGAAGAGCATTTACTCGATGAACACTCTTACTAGGGATGGTACTGACGTAGTTTCTTTGCTCTGCCCGTCGATTTCTCGACGCCGGCACGACGCCCGTGTTTGAACGATGTGGTGAAAATATCAGCTGTTCAAACCTGTGCGAGGGACCAGGAATAGGATGCAGCCGCCGTAAGAGCTGCGTGCGATTGAAGAGTACAGCAAGTAGGGGCTGAATTCAAAATATTTGGCGGGCCTTGGTTATTTTTTGAGAGATTTATGATATTTAAGTACTGTTAAAGAGCCCAATTAACACTTTAAAGAACCCATATGACATTTAGCAAGGTTGCCTCATAAATAAAATTCCAAAAATGTGATTATATATGGCTTAATTTCTAGAAATTTTGGGTTTTTCTGGAAAATGTGGCTCAGGGGTTAGAAATAAATCGATGGCAATGCAAACTCCTTATTAGTTCAATGATTTTTCTGGAAAACCTTAGTTTGTTTACTTTCAATGCCTTCACCACACTTCGAACATTTTTACTCTATGGTACTGAAATCGGTTCAGCTATCGATATAACGATAAAATTGATGAGAAGCGCCGATTCAAAAGGTGGTATTGAGGTCCGCTACTATTTAGCACGGACTCAATCCACGTCTTGCGAACAGGTCAACAAAGTATTTGAATTGCTGATTGTGCCAAATCAGTCATGTATTAAATTTAATTTATTTTCTGCTTTTGCAATTTAGATATTATTTTATATACGAAAAGATACGATAAGCTTGAAGAATCAGGAACGTTTCAATGCGGCCTTGACTAAAAGATTACTAGATAAAATATCCTTTCTAAATAAGAGGCTTAAACTATGTTCGATTACTGATTAAATAAATTTTGATTCTGAAACACAAATATTAATTTCCGTCATTAACAAGATTAGTATTATTAAATTTCACTCCCACGGTATCTTCTAAATGCAGTTAACTTTGAAGTCGGCCCCATTAATAACTATATCCGTTTTTGTTTCCTCTTAGGAGATACTTAAGAAACACGAAGCAGCCAGTTTTCCATAACAAAATTTCGAATAGTTAATCCATCTGATCCATTTTCGTATTCATAGGTATTACAATTAAAGCTGTTTTATTAACTACTTCCATCGCTTGCTTTATAACAAAGATTTCGATCCATTTAACGAACTGGCACCCAACTCTCTAGGACTTGGCCGTAGGTCTTGCGATCTAAAATCGGAAAATAGGTTTAGTTAAGGATTTTGGAAATATAGAAACCCTCCATTTAGACTCACCCTTCACGGGGAAATCGTCGGGATGAAGTTCGATATAGTGTCGGAGGACGGCGTCTCTTTTGGCCAGATATTCGTTCCGTTTCTGGTCGAAATAATATCCTGCACCGAGTCCAAGTACGCCAAAGGCAACATGCTTCTGGATGCCTGCATATCATAGGGATATCATTAGTTTTATTCGACAAAAACAATGTTACGTCACATGGAACCGAGGGGAAAATCTCACCGGAAAACACGGGTCTACGGAAGCCCCAGTTGACGAAAATGGCCACGCCCACACCGGCCAATCCGCAGGCTAACGGATTCCATATTGGACCCAAGAAAGTGGGCTGGCGGGTGCCCTTATTCGTTAACAATTCCAGCGGATCGTTCACAGCGCTCATGTTGATATGAAAAAAACAATAGAGGTGGGCAATAGAGATGGAGTAGCATCCATACTAACCTCGATGTCATCGATAGTATCGGTAAAATCGATGTTTGGCTGGGTTCTGCACCTCTGAAAAGCAAATGGTTGATGTACAAACATGGCTACAGACGGAGGAAGTCCCCACTAACTATCGATAACGTTGGTGTATCCATTTCCGGTTGGCGTATACGCTAACGACGCCAACATCAATGTTTTTCCATCTCTAACAAGTATTAGCACCACTGCTTGCTGAGAAAAGCTTAGAGTGGCACACTGCTTATATAAATTTGAAAAAAAAAAAACGGTTACATCTTAATCCTGTTTAGTTTTATTAGATATATAAAACGGTGAAGCAATGTTCAGCTTTATGACGTCTAAAAAAGTGAAATGGAAAAACCAAAAACCTAAATAAATATTTGCGCAGAAATTTTGTTTTTTGAAATAATAGTAGAAAAAAAATACAAGAAAAAGTCGAATTATTCAGGAACGCGTGGACTTGTATATTTATAAACACATGTTTGAGTGTTTAAATAAAAATACAACATTTTATATATTTTAAGTTTGAAATTTATCGACCAAATAAAATAATAAAACATCCTTCTTAAAATGGATGTTTGCGCTCATTAAAATCATATCCAAATTTTAAAAGCCTGCAAAAAAGAAAAATGTTATAAAGTTTGTTTGTATGTATTTATTTTAATTCATATTTTTATTACAATATTACGTTAAACATTAAGTGGCATGCAAGGCGTGTTTTAAGGCAATTTATAGCGTTCTATGGGCCGGCTCAAAAACTTGTAAACTTTAAGGCAAATATTTTTGTTTCTTTTTCATTCGGTTATTTGATCTCCTCTTGGGTATTTTTATATAATCATAATTAAATATTTTGCTCAACTTTAAAGGCCCGTGTTAAATATTCAACAGGCACAATTATTTCATTAGTTTTCAGATAAGGCTGTATCTTGCCCAAGCCTCTAATATACAGCCAAATGTACATATCCATATTTAGAGGATTATATATCTTAGTTAATTTTGCATAGGTCTTGCACACATCCGATAAAAAATAATAAAAACTCATAAGTCAAAAACGTTTTTTATTTCAGAATGAAGTATTTCTTATTGTTTTTTTTTAATTACCATCTACTGAATTTCGGCACACATTTTTTATTTCGAAACAAAATCAAAGGAAATCATAGAACTACGAAATTTCTAGTGTACTATTATGTTTATAAAAAATTATACAAGTATATTTATATAAAAAAAGTTATTTGCTTTTTTCATCCTCAACTAAACGTAAATATTTACTTAAGATGACAAAAGATCATTGTTTGGAAAAATTAATTGATTCAATGATAAATTTTCCACTTTGAAATTTCGCTGGTATATATTTATTATTTTTGTTTGTAGTTGTCGGTTTGTTGTATTTGTATAACTTAAAATTAGTTAAACCATAGATTTAAATCAAAAGCAAACCGCAAATGAGAAAAATAAAACATAAACTTGTGTTTCTATAAAATCATTTTAAGAAATGTATTGCAATAAGTTTTGATTCATATCCTTATGTAAATTTCTTTTTGCTTATGTATGTAAAGTTGGTAGGATTAATTAAATGTGTTTTGTTTTATATTTAAAGCAGTTTTGCAATGACACATAATTAGCACTTGAAATAGACTGAACAACAACTGTTTGCCAATGGGCATAGATCATTATTAATATAGCATGTAGATCATTGTAAATAGTTATACCATTTTGTAGTTGGTTTCTTAGCTCGCTGTTGTTTTTCATTACTCTGTTTTAGCGTTAGGAATGACATTCGCGTAGAAAATCATACGATAAACTATAAAATATAGGCAAAGGGCGGGTGTTGGAGTAGCTTGCGTACGTCTAAATTTAAATCTGCAGATGAGTTGCATAGACATCGATCTGTTTGCGCCTATCTTCGGGCACAAACCTATGCTCTCTCCGGTGTCCTGTGTTCTCTACGTCTTTTTCACACTTAGCTTTCGCTCACTCGTACTCATTTAGCTACTAGTTTTGTATTGATTTTCTTTTCGTTTCCGTTGAGGGACATTGCCTCATCTTAAGCTTAGGATACCGAACTAATTGCATTATGTGGCGAGCCCATTTGCGTGAGCACCTTGTCCAACCATTGAAGTGGCCCGTGCAGATGGATTTCGATCCAGCAGGGCGTCGAGGTCACATCCTGGCGATGGTACTCTGCCCCCCAGCCTTTCACGAACGACATCCGGATCGTGCACATCTTGGTGAGCTCATAGACGGCCTCGAATCCATTGTTGACTGACTGCGATAGCAGCTGAGCAAATTCCTGGTTGTTGAAGATTTTCAGCGAGCAGCCTGGCGGTATTTTGCATACGGTGCTCGGATGGAATCCGTGGTGGTAGTTGCAGTTGCGCGACTGCACGAAAATGGCGGAGTCGGACAGGCACTCGGCATACACCTCGCCGGTCACATAGTACAGATGGACGCCCTTGCCTGCAGGAGGAAAAAAATTAAGAAAATTAGAGGTTGTTTATAAAACTAGAGTGCAATTTTTGATTAAAACGTGGCCTACTTTTGTCTATCTACAAACTCTATTTTTATAGCTGATAAGAAGTTTTCGTATTCTAATTTAAGAGCATTTAAATTGTTATCTGAAAGAGTTATTGGCCGCTTCAAGTTCGCTTATCGAGAACCCCTATGAATGAGTTAATTTAGCTTACTATGATGCAATAACAGTTATTAAACAACAAGTTACAAATGAAATTAATATTTTGGCAGAGCTTAATTCTAAACCCACCTATATGACGGCGTGTATTCTCGATGGTGCTGTTCCTGTTCACATTGCTCAGCTGGCCCAGGCAGCAGCGGTCCGAGTTGTTGGACGGATTCGTGAATCCGTCAACGATTACAGAGTTGTTGTTGCAGTGGAACACCTCGCCCACCCGGCAGTTCAGCTCGTAGTAGGCAATCGATGCCCAGAAGGCAGGCTCTGCATAGCTGACCTGGGCTACATCACCCATCGGGGCATCCAGCAGTTGGCCACCGTCATTGGGATTGTTTGAATTCCCATCCTCCGAAGGGCTGTAGGCGGGTGGCGGTGTTCCCGCCAAACTGTCATACGGTGAATTGGGATTGGAGTTCACCGAACTCGGACTGCCCACCGATGTGTTGCTGGTGCTCAGGCTGTGCGAGTTGAAACCACTGTTCGAGTAGCTCACATTGTGCGGCATACTGGGCTCGGCCACGTGATTGAACTGGAGCATCGAGTGTCCGGGCGCGAATTCCGAGTGGCGAGGAACGAGAACTGGCGGGAGCACTGGACTCTCCACGCGCTTATAGTGGTACGGATTGATGCACACCTCCTTCTGCTTGGCGCTAAAGGGATACTGGCATAGCTCGAGGGGCTTTAGTTCGTGGTGTGACTGTAGATCGGGCCAGCGCCACACGCGGCAGTAGATCACATGTGGCAGACCCTTGCGATGTGAGACCTGAGAATGATTATAAAAATTATTATATGATTCGAAAGAAACACCTTTAAATGCAATCACCCACCTGTAATCGTCCGTCCAACGAGCGCGGAATGGTGACACACTTCGAGGGCTGACCGGGACAGGAGAGCGCTCGTTCCAGCTCTTCGATGGCGCCCTTGCGCTTCTTCAACTTCTTCACCAGACTGTCGACGGCCTTCTCCGCCCACTTTTCCTCCTCGTCGCCCTGCTTCCAGCCCAGCAGCTTCTTAACCGCCGGCGATGTGAAGGAGAATAGAGTGCCCAATGTGGACATGGCACTGCTGGTGTTTGATTCCACATCGTCGGTGTCCATTCTGCTGCCGCTGATTGCTGTTAAACTGTTGTTGTTGCTGCTGCTGCCGCAGATATTGTTGTTGTTGTTGTTAATGTGATGGCTGTTGTTGTTGTTGCTGCTGCCGTTGGTTTGGGGTGGAGTTACCCGATAACCGGTATAACTATCAGCGGGCGGATAGTCTGTAAAAAGAGTAAGTAAAAAGCATATATAATTAATAAAAACAAATAAAAGCGCATACATTCATCATCGAGCTTAGATTGCTTCAGCAACGCCCACAACAACGCATGCAAAATTTGAATGCACTGAGAGGAATAGTAAGCAAGTTTATATAAATCGATTTAATTTGAATTTAACTTTGTACCAGTGATGATTAAATATACAATAGTACAGCACTTTATAAAACCTGGTCCTTATAGTTCTATACCGTTAATTAAAGTTGATTTAAATTGTAAAACCCAAAACAGATCTCAAAACTCTCTGATTTCTTAACTGCCTTTAGAAAGATGAAGACAATTGACATTTTTTCTCCAAGTGTGAATACCCGCTTGGCCAAGTGCCCAGCAGGAATCGAAAAGGAGGAGAGGAAGGAGGGAATTGCTATGGGGCCTTTCAATGCATCATGATTTTGACTAGTGAATGAAGTCGTTGGGAGGTTCCTGTCATGAATGGGCTCCTCCCACTTTCGATGTTGGCGGCCAATTGCATGCAAATTGCCTGCAACATTTTCTCATTGAGAATTATGGCTATTATTGCCTCGGTTAATTTGTTAGCTGGCTGATTAATCGAAACTCGATTTCGTTAGAAAATTATTTTTATCTATTAAATATGGCCATTGTTGATCGCCAATCGCTGCTGACGTCATTTGTGGGACGATTATATTTATTATTATTATCTGCAATTTAAACGAAATCTGAAAAGACTTCAGGAGGCAAAGAAAATGTTATTTTTTTAATTTCCAAGAAATAATGTTGACCAAGTTCAACTTTTTAGTGACGGAAATATTTAGTGACGGAAATATTGGCCTATTCGTTAATTTTCTTTTTTTTAATATTTTTATTTATGTCGGTCAGATTTAAATCAACCGTGTATGGTTATAAATAAAAAGAATGTTTACAAAGAAAAGATAATAATTTCATTTGACGGTTCTGTGCTTGCCCTATCACTTCCTAGCAAATCGTTGTTATAAAAATCTACCATGAATCGATTTATCTAAAAGCCTTAATAGTTAATTTTCAATTTGTTGAGGAGGACAACTTTCTTGTTGTCTTATCCTTATATCATTTTTATGAGATTTTAGTCAAGATGAAAAGAATTTGAATGATTAGTTAGACCACATAATAATAATATTCATAATTTGCCCAATCCCATATAAGTTGAGCCTGACTGTATTCAACTGAGAACTGTGCTGAGTGGCGAGAATTGCATTTCATAATTAGCTGAAATGATAACCAAATGGTGTACAACTTGTCAGCACCACAAATGTGGGTCTCCCCCCGTTTTTCTCGGCCCCTGGGATTTTCCTCCCTTGCTACGTCACAGTGTCTAACGGTAAAGACAACAATTCAATTTAAATTATGACATTTCAATGTTAACAGCATTTCTGAAGAAATTCTCTCCGGTGGCAAGTACTTCAGTTGTCTGCCTTAGTTTGTGTGTTAAATTCAATCTCGTTTTTTCCTCGAGGTGTCAAAAAATGTTTAATTAAATTTAAAAGTGACAAAATCTAATTGAATGAAAATTTGTAGTAGCAATTAATTTGTGCAAGCTGAAGCACTAAAATCGCAAATATCGCACAAACTAGCCACACAAGGCGAACCACCAACCTCCCCTTTTGGCACCAGTCAGGTAAATCCAATTTCAAAAGCAATTAAATGCCGACGATAAATCAACAAGTGCAACACTTGGACAACAAGAAAACACCTCTCCATTGGGCCGACAGACCAACTGGCGCATTTTTCTGGCCAAATTAGCCGTTGCGTGAATTAATTTCGATTTTCTCGCTCAACTCAGGCCTAATACTTTGGGGCGTTGCCCGAGTTTTTATACTTTTTTGCACCATTGACAATTTTATGTTGTCGCCGATGGAAGGAGGCGTGGTCGAAGGGGGGCAGTGGATCGGGGAGCCCACTTTTTTAATTGCCCAAAGTCACCCAGAGCCTAAGGCGCTAAACATGGCCTTTGGTGATATACAAAAAATACTCTAACAAAGCGAATACAAAATTGCAAGTCGGGAGAAGTTAATCAAATCATCTTATATTTTTCAATTACCCAATGACTATATTATTTAAAATCTCAGGGTCAACAATATGAACTGAAGAAATTTATATTTATACCTTTAATCATTCTAGAAGATATAGAAGATACATGTCCATTTTAACATTGAGTTTAGGGAGCAAAAAATTTAGTTGAATATTAATTTATCTGATGGCCCTCTTCAAAAATAAGAATTATGTGCAAGCAATCATTTTTTTTGTTATCAAAACTACATTTTCATTTAACATAATCTCAAAATCAAACATACATTTTTGAGAGTATTTTATATCCCAGGTAAAAGGACTGTTTTTCCTATTTGGATCTAAAGATATCACATCACTCTTGTGTTGGCAGGGTGTCCGGTCAGAGTTATCAAGAGGGATACGGGTGATAGAGAACTGCTAAAAGTGGGTAGTGTGGAAATCTATGTATTTGTCCAGCTGACGGGTGTCGTGTGTTTTTAGGTGGCAATCGTAGTTTGTGGATTGGCCTGTCTTGTGGAATTCGATTGATTGTGGGGTAAGCATACAAATTTCGACAATGCCCCCGGCTTGTTTGTGCAAAGCTTTGAAATACGGTTGATTGCAGGTGGGTTTTGGGTTTGGATTATCGGGGGGGAAAAACTCAACTATACCTTTTCAGGAATTAAAATAAATTGGTTATTTGCATGGATTTAACAATAACTTCAATAGATTGGCGATTTAACAATGACTGTGGACTCAAAATATTTGTGAAACTTAAATAGGAATCATTCGATATCATCAACAAAACAATTTATGATTATTTGTTGGTGCTGTAAATGCAATGGAAAATTAGTTATTCGTTCAAAGTATTGTAGTGATTTATGTACATATTTCATATAATATAAAGTTTTATAAAACTTTTATGATATTTTAAAAAATGTTGGCTTTAAGAATTCTAAATAAAATTTATTGTGAACATATGATCCGTTGTCATAAGGTTTTTCCACGCATGGACATTTCCAAAATCAATAAATGGTCTATAATCGTAATTCGCAATTACATATTACGGTAGCTCAGATCACGTATTCACCTCACTTAGCAGGCCTTTTTGTTGTAATTTGCCCCACCCAAAACTGGCAGTCTTCTTTCTTATTTAAAAAAAATCCACACTTAGCAGAAAATAATCGTAAATGGTCAGTAACAATATAAATCATTTTAAGTTTTTCTTTTAAAGTAATACTTTTTGATGTGAATTTATAATATTATTTCCTTTAAATCAGGTTAATTTATGATCACACAAGATATAAAAGGTTTAATTGGATCTAACACTTTTAAATACAAAGCATAAAATCTGAGCAAGATATGGATTCATTTTTAAGCAATACTGATAGCAATTGCAAGATTGAAAGTTACAAGAATTATGTTATGGTCAAGTTAAAATTCAAATTTGAGGTATTTAAAACTAATATAACTATATAAAACGCCAACGTGTAGTATTTTCTGTGCAGTGCAGCAATAAACCGGGATCCACCGATCATAACTCAAATTGAAGAACAGAGAACCGAGGACTTTGAGGGACTTTTATGGCAGGCACGCATTCGCGCATGCGTATCATATAATTCCAATCGATAATCAATCATAAATGCGGCAGTGACAATAAGGAGTAAATCATGGGAGCCAGGTAAAAATAAAGGTGGATGGGAAAATGATGGAAGCACAGAAGCAGTGCCACTACTTCCGTTGCCATTGAAAGCAGGCAAAAAGTGTAGTAGTAAAAGGTACGAGTATCAGAATTGAGAGGATAGAGAGAAATAGGGACTTGGACCCATGTTTAAAAATAAACAAACAATGCACACACAAAAACAGAGATAAAGAACGAAATGGGCGGCCAGGCCAGCAGCAAAAGTTTCGATTTGAGGAAAACTCAAAAATCGAGCAGGGGAGAGAAAATAAAGGCAAGCGCAACTAAGGCGAAACAAACGTACACATGTTGAGATTGCAGATATTATTTTATTTATTTTTATTGCACGCACACACACACGCACTGGCGCGACACCGATGCACAAATCAAAATCAGCATCAAAATGTTATTCGTATGCAAATGCGACCCTCCACGACGATCGACTTTATTTCTGCAGTCACATTTCCGATTCTTAATTCAATTGTTATCTTTTCATTTGCCAGCCGCGATTTGGAATGCGCTTCAATAATAATAACTTAATTTATTGAAGCTGTTTGCCATATTAATTCTTTTTGCGGCAAATTACGCAAAATCCCCAGAGAAAGAGGAGGGCGAACTTAAGGAGCGAGCGCGAAATCAACTGCACGACACGACCGATCGACAACGAATGCCGAACGGGTTGCAAAGAAAACTGAATCCACCGAGTGTTGACTGACTGACTGACGAACTGACTGAATAGGTGATTGAGGAACTGACTGACTGACGAACTGAACGGAGCCCAACTGCGCCTGTATTTCGTATCTGTGTGAATTCAACCAGGGATGCCAAAAAGTGGGGCAGTCTTAAAGGAACTATCAGATAAATTAAAAATTAAGAGACACCAAAATATTATGAATTTATTGTTTTTTTTTAAAGATGTTAGATTTTCCAATGCACAATCAAAACTTTTAGCCAGTATTCTGTATAAAGATTATCCTACCAATATTGCCTATTTTCTAAAAAATATTCTCTTAATAACTTAAAAAAACATAAAAAGTATCTACGTAAAAGTATCTTGTATCTCTTTATAGTTGTTCGAGTCACAATATATGACTCTGAAACCTTTTTTATGTTTATGTAAATAAAATATTAAAGATTTTTGCAAATTAAGCTTAATTTAATGATCTATAATAATAATATTAACAAAATATTTAACAATTTGGAAAGTCATTCTAAGAGTTTTCCTCCTTTATCGGATACTATTCCGTAGCCCTGATTTTTAATGACCGCTGAGTGACGTATT